GTATGCGTCATCTGGCGAGTTTAGGTTAGATGTGTGAATGGGGGCCTATAGTGTTCGAGGCGTCTGAACCCTTGCTATAGGTAGCCATCCTAGATGGAACCCGGGATGAAACCTAGGTGTGGACTGTGGATAGTGTCCATTGAAATGAGCCATAAGCTTAATTCCCCAGATAAGATAGTCTAGATCGAGGTGACTGGAACATGGGTTTAAGGGAGGCGTACTCGGAGGAGTGTGGATAACCACGAAATCCCACAGAAAAGAGCTCACTCACCACATTCGATTAACCCTACTTTACAACCTTAGCTAGGAGGATTCAACCCTTGGCAACCATCTCATCTCTAGCGTTCTCCCAAAGCCTTGGTTGGTTCTTTATTTTGCCTTAGGAGTAGGTTAATTTAGCTAAAACCCCTCACCAAACTTCCATCCCGATTAGATGGTAGTTCGGAGCGAGGTAATAATACACTTTGGGATCCCTTGGAATACGATCGAGCCACTTTACTCCAATCCTAGCTAGGTTATACTTGGCTTAGTTAGGATTGATTAGAGAGTGTGCTTCCACTTTATAAATTTAAAGCTCGATCGCGCACCGGAGCACGATCATGAGGTTCTTGTATGCTTTATAAGCTTTCTGACATGCTTCTTAGTATTTTGTGAAGCGGTTTGTTGTGTTTCCACTTTCTAATCTGCATTTTCTGGTATGCTTCATGACAATTGTGGTGAGGCAAAATTAATGCACAACACCAGGCCCTTGTGTCTCTCCTCTCCCAATTTTTAATAATGACAAGCATGTGCATATTTTTATAAACTTGTATTCATTGTGGTCAATCCCTTAAAATAAAATATACATTGAAATGAAATATTTCCATTAATCTTCTTATAAAAAAAATATTTCCATTGATTAGAGTTAGTATTTTTTTTTTATAGATTGATTAGAGTTAGTATTAACACTATACTAACACGCTATTAGCAACCCTACCCTACCTAATTCTTTTAAGCACAATAATGAAATTTCCGTGTAATTAATATAGTTTAAAAGTTACCTTTTGCCCTTCAATTGGGATTCATGTACAAGTCCAATATGTGTTTTCTTTGAACTGGTTGAACTGGATTCATTAAGTATGCAAATGGAAAAGTCCAACCTGTGACCAACCTTGTGGGCTCAAGAGAGGGTGAGTAACTATGAGTAACCAAATTTGGACCCTTCTTTTAAGTGGCTGTAGATCTAAGTGTGGAGAATTAAAGGAATTTATTTTGCCTAGTTTTCTCTATTGGATCATATCTTTTTCATTCTAACTCGGATTTCAAATTTTTTTGCATAGATGGAACGAGTTCGTTGTGCTCTACAAAATGATATTCATTTTCAATATTTTTTTAGAAAAAAATTTCATACCTCTCGTTACCAACTTCATACCATATGGTATCTCCTTCTTTATTTAATCGTTTTCGAAATTTTTTGCATAGAAGGAACGATTTAATCATGATCTATTGGATTTCAAATTTCATACCATACTATACCACCCTGGTATGCGATGGTATTTTCATACCATATGGTATGCTGTTATTTAATACCAGTCAATACCATATGGTACAATCAATATCATATCATATGGTATAGACTGGTAATAACTGGCAAATTTTTTTGTTCCAAAAAATATCAAAGTGGATATCATTTTGAAGAGCACAATTAATCTGATCTAACTGTGCAAAAAAACCCGAGTTAAAACGAGCGAGAAATCGTCCGTTAAAGATTAAGGGAAGGAAAATTAAAGGTTTTTCAAGAAGAGAGGAGGCGCTGATGTGACGGATTCTTATTGGGTTATGCATGGAGTTACTCACCGGATGGTTACTGCATGGAGCCAACCTTGTGAGTTGTGAATATGGTCTAGTTCTTCTCCGACGTTTCCCTTTCTCCTCCGTTTGAATATAATCAGCTTACACCTGGGACACAAAGATCGCAGCCACAATCTAATGAAGGAACCCGTGATCTCGGAGCTTAAAGACGGGACAAAAACACATCATTTCGAGCGATTCGAAGACGTTCCACCTGGTCACGGCCGTGACCATCGGGTCATGCCCTGGAGGCCTTGACCGCCATCAGCTTTCTATAAATACCCTTTTTGCTGCACTTTTCAAGGGAGAGTCGCCTTGGGGTGAGAAAATTGGGGTTTTGTAGTGCTTTAGAGAGAGAAACGCCTTGGGAGAGCTTCATTGAAGATCCATTCAACCCTATGAGCAAGGAAAAGGTGCAAACAAGGAGAAGAAACTTGATTCCATCATTCCCCTTTTCTAGTTTGCATTTTCTTCTTCTTTCTAATGATTTGAATCTCTAATTGTTGTTTAGGGTAGATGAACCCTAGTTATAGGTTGTGAATGTTTGGGTTTTGAAGGAATGAAAGTGTTTGTCTAATTGATTTTAATGCATTTCTTTCCTAAATGATGACGCTTGGGTAAGTCGCCATAATCTTTCCTCTTAGCCTACTTTATGCTACCGCGATGGGTATGGAGTTCTAGGGTTAGACGGGTATGCGCCATCTGGCGAGTTTAGGTTAGATGTGTGAATGGGGGCCTATAGTGATCGAGGCGACTGAACCCTTGCTATAGGTAGCCTTCCTAGATGGAACTCGGGATGAAACCTAGGTGTGGACGATGGATAGTGTCCATTGAAATGAGCCATAAGCTTAATTCCCCAGATAAGATAGTCTAGATCGAGGTGACTGGAACATGGGTTTAAGGGAGGCGTACTCGGAGGAGTGTGGATAACCACGAAATCCCACGGAAAGGAGCTCACTCACCACATTCGATTAACCCTACTTTACAACCTTAGCTAGGAGGATTCGACCCTAGGAAACCATCTCATCTCTAGCGTTCTCCCAACGCCTTGGTTGGTTCTTTATTATGCCTTAGGAGTATGTTAATTTAGCTAAAACCCCTCACCAAACTTCCATCCCGATTAGATGGTAGTTCGGAGCGAAGTAATAATACACTTTGGGATCCCTTGGAATACGACCGAGCCACTTTACTCCAATCCTAGCTAGGTTATACTTGGTTTAGTTAGGATTGATAAGAGAGTGTGCTTCCACTTTATAAATTTAAAGCTCGATCGCGCACCGGAGCACGACCATGAGGTTCTTGTATGCTTTATAAGCTTTCTGACATGCTTCTTAGTATTTTGTGAAGCGGTTTGTTGTGTTTCTACTTTCTAGTCTACATTTTCTGGTATGCTTCATGACACTTGTGGTGAGGCAAAATTAATGCACAACACCAGGCCCTTGTGTCTCTCCTCTCCCAATTTTTAATAATGACAAGCATGTGCATATTTTTATAAACTTGTATTCATTGTGGTCAATCCCTTAAAATAAAATATACATTGAAATGAAATATTTCCATTGATCTGCTTATTAAAAAAATATTTCCATTGGTTAGAGCTAGTATTAACACCATACTAACACGCTATTAGCAACCCTACCCTACCTAATTCTTTTAATCACAATAATGAAATTTCCGTGTAATTAATATAGCTTAAAAGTTACCTTTTTCCCTTCAATTGGGATTCATGTACAAGTCCAATATGTGTTTTCTTTGAACTGGTTGAACTGGATTCATTAAGTATGCAAATGGGCAAGTCCAACCTGTGACCAACCTTGTGGGCTCAAGATAGGGTGAGCAAGTATGAGTAATCAAATCTGGACCCTTCTTTTAAGTGGCTGCAGATCTAGATCTAATTGTGAAGAATTAAAGGAATTTATTTTCCCTAGTTTTCTTGATTGGATCATATCTTCTTCATTCTAACTCGGATTTCAAAAAAAATTGCATAGATGGAACGAGTTCGTTGTGCTCTATAAAATGATATACATTTTGAATATTTTTTTAGGAAAAAAATTTTCATACCTCTCGTTACCAACTTCATACCATATGGTATCTCCTTCTTTATTTAGTCGTTTTCGGAAATTTTTGCATAGAAGAAACGATTTAATCATGATCTATTGGATTTCAAATTCCATACCATACTATACCACTCTGGTATGAGATGGTATTTTCATACCATATGGTATGCTGTTATTTAATACCAGTCAATATCATATGGTACAATCAATTATATGGTATAGACTGGTAATAACTGGCAAATTTTTTTGTTCCAAAAAATATCAAAGTGGATATCATTTTGAAGAGCACAATTAATCTGATCTAACTGTGCAAAAAAAAAATCCAAGTTAAAATGAGTGAGAAATCGTCCGTTAAAGATTAATGGAAGGAAAATTAAAGGTTTTTCAAGGAGAGAAAAGGAGGTGCTGATGTGACGGATTCTTATTGGGTTATGCATGTAGTTACTCACCTGAAAAAGCTTGCGACACGGAACAAGCTCTCAAAGGAAATCAAAAGATGGTGCGTAGGGGTGGCTATACGGTCCGGTCCGGTTAAATTGGCCAAATTGATCCGGTCCAGTCCGGTCTTTTTGAAAATATAAGGACCGAAGATTGGATTGGATACAGTCCGATCTTGATCCGGTCCGGTCCCAATTCTGTCTTGATTTTACATTGAGATTGTGGGATTTTAGTTGCCTAAGGCCTTAAAGGGTGAGGAGTTGGTTAAGTTTTGTACTAAGTGCAAATGTTTGTGACCGTTTATGCAAATTACCCTTAAGTTTTGGGTGTTGAGCTCTCTTATCCGGTCTTTATCCGATTTTTTACCTCACATCTAAGTCCAAAGATTGGATTGGATTGTTTACTATCCGGTCCCGGTCCGGTCTTGGTCCGGATTATACGGTCCGGTTTCCGATTTTTAATCCGGTCCCGGTCCAAATAGCCACCCCTAATGTGCGTGTGGAACCGTTGGAAAACAGGTGCAACCACTATTAATTAAGTTTTTCAAGTGTTCAATCATACATGCTTACACTAGACACTATTACATCAACTCTGAACCGAATAAGGCCAATCAACCAAAAGCTACTTTAGCCCCAATAATATGAATGAACCACGCTTCAATCTTCTGGAAGCCATATTCTATTCCCTCTTTGATTTCGAGAGAGCCTTCTTCCTTTGGCTAAGCATGTACCTGTACATGTGGGGAGAACCTGCAACCATAAGAAGCAGAAGAAGAAAAAAACTGAATCAGGTCATATCTAAACGTAATACTTAACTACCAATCAAATATGAACAAGGTCACAGATCAACAATTTCATGCCTGGGACGTAGATTCCAAGAGCAATGAAAGCGATGTAGAAGTTGTCGAAGGAGAAGTTCCATTTGTTGGGCATCCTTATGCAGAATTTTTCAGACACCTGCCAAAACAACACCAGCAAGCTTTTATCTAAGCATTTATTCAGGAAGCCTAACTGCAGTGTTCTTACTTCACAAAAGTCAGCCATTTAATTTGTGCAAGACCCAAAGAGATTCAACATGAGAATTGGTTAACCTTTATGTGAGGCAAGGCAAGATAAATGAGACCAACTTCACTGCTGATACCAATGGGATACATCACCAAAAAAGTGCTGTACCTGCACACAGCAAAAAAAGCAGATCAAAATAAGCCTCCACTACCTTCCGGTTTCCAATTAATAGGAATCCAATAATACACAGATTTAGTTAACCTGAGCCACAAAAGAAATGAAGGTGTTGCACCAAAGGCTTCCTTCATGCCGAAGAATGAATATCGAATAATCTGCAATGGCGAGAAAATGAACCTCGGATGATGGATAGAAGGACCTTATAGACAGAGAAATCAAGAAGCATGATGCAAGGGAGAATGTATGCGACCAGATGCATAAACAGATCATAATATCCTAACAGTACAACATGATCCTTGATGGTCTCCTCTACGTTCGAGCTTAGGATTGTTTTCAAACAACCATACAGATTAAGAGATGAATGAGATAACACTTAAAGCACAGAGAACCTCAGTGAACAATGAGAGAAAAATAGGCTTCCTGAGAGTGCTGGATTTGCAATGCCAAAACCAGTAAATTCCGGAATGAGTGTCCATTTGGTAAAGGAACAAGTAGAGGCATAAAGATTGACCAACAATGACATGTAAAAATAATGAACCAGCAGAACTCAACCTCCAAGCAGAAGAATTACCTCGGTGATCGACCAACTAATAGTCAAACTACTAACGAGGAAGTGCGTCTGAACCTACCAACAGATCAAGAACACGGAGCCATTATTAGTTCAAAATACCTGTCTTTTGACAGACTGAGATCATATCCTTCAGACTCCAAGAGCAAAGTGACATGAGATATTCGACTATATACCTCGGGAAAACTATGCAAAATGATCCATGTAAGATACAATCGCGAGCTAATCTGTGGGAGTGTTGCCGTTATGGGAGACCGAACCAAACCTTTTTATAATCACCACCAAACAAAAGTCAATTCTGAATCTTTGCATCAAAAGTTCTTCAAAAAATTGGCTAAGAGGGAATACTAGGAACAAAGGACTCACCCACTAAACTATGGAGAATCTGTTACAGAGGCAACACAAATTCAACAAACCACAAAAAGACGGACAGTATTCAGCAATCCTCATATGCAATGTGAAAATAGCATAAATGAAAAGAGAGAGCAGCATCATTGATCCTATATTGGGGAACTCCTAGTTCAAAAGCAACGGTCTTCTAAAAATTTAGAAAAAGCCCATTAGGATAGAAGTGAGAAAAGAGTGGTAAGACCTCCAAAATAGCAGCAGTTTGAGCGAGCTGGAGTGGCTTCTCAACTGCACTGTATACATGTTCATGACCCGATTCCTTCAAGGTCTTCACAGCTAAGAACAAAACCTGTGCCCTGTGAACTCGAAAGATAAAATAATTACGAAAAATAAAACATCCCCATTCCCCACTACTGAGAAAGAAGAAAGAAGCTGAGGGGAAGCGAAGGATGTTACCATCCAAAGAAGACGACCCAGTTATAGACGGCGAGATATGTTCGCCTCAGCATAGAGAGAAATCCCGCCATTGACAAACAGAAATCGTTCCTACCCGGCCTCTAAATAAGCTCAGATTTGACAGAAGCTGGCTGCGGCCCAGGAAGTGATTTATAGCGGAGAAAGAAGAGAGCTCCTCGAACTAAAACCTAAACAGGGGGAAGCAAGCATGGGCTGCAGACTCTGCCAGTGCAAATGCAATGATGCTGATCCAGCTGAGTAAAAGGCGAAGAGGGAAAAATAAACAATGCAGGTGAGGATCTGGTTAGCAGCTCAACTAACCAATTTTTAAGGGCGTAAGAGAATAAATGTTGCCGTCCCCCGCCATATCATCGATGACATCCACCATTCATGATCCCATCCAACCAAACCCGAGTATATTTATTCGGCAGAATTCATGCTCATCATAGCTAACCTTCCTTTTCCAATCTTGTTCACCCGAATCGGACCATCCGATCAATGCGCATGTTGGGAGCTCTGGAATCTCTCTCTCATGTGTCGAGAAAAAGGGAAGCCGATAGGCATTTTCCAATGTTGTCAAACCGGTTTATATAGATAAGTTGATTTTGTAAGTGGAATGATTTTACCGTGGTAGTTGGTACAAAGCTGGTATTCGGTAAATCGGTATTCGGTATAACCGGGTATCGAACCGGTTACAATCGATATTCGGTATACCGAATACCGGCGGTATCGGTATTCGGCTGCACTTCTTGGCCAACCGGTATACCGAATACCGATTACTAATATACCGAATACCGAATATGTTATACCGAATACCGAATTAAAAAAAAAAAAAAAGAGAAAACGCCAGCGTAGCGGATTAATACCCTAAATGCCTAATACCGAATATATTTCTTCAGCCGCCCTCCACCACCTCGTCCTCGACTCCTCTTCTTTGTTCCTCTCCAGCCGCCCTCCACCTCGTCTGTTCCTCAGGAGAAACACGAAATCCAGCGGCCGCCGGCCAACATCAGCAGCCAGTACGCCGCGACGCCGCTCTCCAGTCTCCACCGCCGGCCAGCATTCGTCTTCACCAGCAACATCTGTCTTCCACTCTTCCCCTTCGCCAGCAGCGGTCGCTAGCAGCAGTCCGCCAGTTTCCGCTTGGCGGAAAGGATGAACTGTAATGAATACAGCAGTAGTATTGGAGACCTCATGTTTGGTATGAAGAAGGCTGGATTTGTTGAAGGGTATTTATAGAGGGATAGTTGGAGGTTTACCATGAGCTTTTTGTTTGTGTTTGTTTATACTTGAATTTGATCATATATTCATATGTCTTTTGCTAGATTGGAGCATTTGGTTTTTAATTTTTATTAACATATCAAAGTCAAATTGTTTAACTTTTGTAGGACAAAACCTTCTCGTGGTCGTTCTCGTGGAGGAGGTAATTCGAAGGGTGGATCCCTTCCTCCTCGTTCCACTTCTAAAAAAGGCGGCACTTCCAAAAAAACACCTACCACAAGTGTGGCAACTAAAGCAAGTGTTGCAAATCCAGCACCTACCACAAGTGTGGCAAATCCAACCCCTACGGCTACCACAAATCCAACACCTACTGCAGGTGGTGAGCCAAAGGAAAATGTGAAGAAGAGAGGAGGAAGGAAGAAGACATCGAAGTGGTGGGCTTATTATGATCATGTGTTGGTGGACGGCTACCCAAATGGCAAATGCAAACAATGTGGTACTTTGATCAAAGCACATTCCACCAACAATGGGACTAGTGGCTTGAAAACTCATCGCTTGGCATGCGAGAGGAAGAGGAAAGAAGCTGGTGGTCAGTCATTATTGAACTACCAACCTGGGATGGTGAGGTAGGCTCTCTTACTCCATGGAAGTTCGATCAAAAAAAAGCTAGGACTGCATTAGCTATCACGATAATATTGGATGAGCTTCCATTTAGATTCGTTGAGCGTGAAGGGTTTCAGAGATTTATGGCTATAACACAGCCTTTGTTTGTGATTCCTGGAAGACAAACAATAAGGGAAGATTGTTACATCATATTTCTTGAGAAGAAAGAGTTGTTAACTGAATTTTTCAAGATGAAGTGCAAAGGAAGGATTTCAATTACCACAGATACTTGGACTTCTGATAACAATCAAAATTTTATGTGTGTGACTGCTCATTTTATTGGGAGTGATTGGAAGTTGCAGAAGAGGATAATTAGTTTTGTTCCTATCACTAGTCACACAGGAAAAGATATTACAGAAAAGTTGGCAGCATGTCTAGAAGAATGGAAGGTGCATAATTTGTTCAGCATTACAATGGACAATGCCACTTCTAATGATGTCCTTGTTGAATGCATGAGAACAAAGTTGAAAGAGTGGGGATCGGATTTGATAAATGGGAAGTTCTTACAATTTCGATGTGTGGCACACATAATAAATTTGGTTGTTTCTGATGGGCTGAAGGAAGTTGGACTTGCTGTAGAGAGGGTTCATGATTGTGTGAAATGGGTGAAGCCTTCACCAGCTTGGAGTGAAAAGTTCAAATCTACTATTTCATTTCTTGAATTGGATGGGAGAAAACTAGTGTCTTTGGATGTTCCAACTAGGTGGAACTCCACCTATTTGATGTTGGAATCTGCAGAAAGGTTCGAGGTTGTGTTTAACTTCATGCATTCAAGTCCAAATGGTGCTTCTTTTCGAGATTATGTTGATTCGAAGAAGGGTCTACCAAGCAAAGAAGATTGGTGCAGTATCAGACGGCTAATGAAGTACCTGAAGTTCTTTTATGATCTAACCCTTCGTGTTTCGGGTATGTGAATATCAAATTTTCAAATCCATTACCATTCATTTGCTAATTTATCTTATCTTAAAGTGAATAATCATGAGTTACAACTTATACTGTTATATCTACCTTGTATCAGGAACATCATATGTGACTGCACATACATTCTTCAAGGCCATTGTTGATATTTTTGAAGTGATAACAACATTGAAGAATGATATGGATGAGCAGATACAACAAATGGCAAACAGAATTGAGGCTAAGGTACGCAAGTATTGGTTTGAACATGATGAGGAGGAGGAAGAGAACCTAAAGATAAATAGACTAGTTTACATGGCATGTGTGCTGGATCCTAGGCGTAAACTTGCATATCTATCTTTTATGTTGGATGCTATGTATGGGAAGTCGAAAGGAGAAGCTTTGATAAAGGAAGTAACTGCAGACATGACTGATATGTTTGAGATTTACAAATTGAAGTGTTCATCTCCATCATCTGAGACCACTATTCATCCTACTCCTACTGTGAGTGATGCTATTGTTGGTGCTACTGGTACTAGTGTTTTGGGAGGGAAATATGATGCTGAGTTCAGGAAGAGGAGAAAGGAGCAACTTCAAAAGGGGGTTCGAGGTAGTTCTGAATTGGACATCTATTTAAGAGATGTTGATGATGCTATTAACGAGGATGATGATGATAAGAAGTTCAACATTTTGAAGTGGTGGTCTCGGAACAGTGTTAGATATCACGTCCTTTCAGAGATGGTTAGGGATATCCTGGCAGTTCCAATCTCCTCAGTTGCCTCAGAGTCTGCTTTCAGTTGTGGAGGTAGAGTGCTTAGTCCGTTTAGGTCTTCTTTTAACTCTAACATTGTAGAGGCCTTGATTTGTGCCGAAGATTGGATACGGTATGAATGTGGTAAGAATTCAGGCCAAGTTGATGATAAAGAAGAAGATCAAGAACAGATTGATTATGAAAGAGGTAATAGTTCTTATTTGTTTTTAGTTATTCACTCACTTTATTTCCTAGATAATTGATGAATTCTAACAATTTGTTTTTTCCTCTTAAATTTAGTCACTAGTACCTTTGAAGCTCGAATGGAAAGTGTAGGTGATATGTCAAGTGAAGGCAGAGAACATAATATACCCATTGTGGTTGAGGAGGAGGATGGTGATGGAGAAGATTCAGAAGAAGAAGAAGAAGAAGATGAAGATGAAGAGGAGGATGATAATGATGTTCTTCTCAATACTTTGAAGAAGCAAGGTTGTGCCGATGTTGGCAGTTCGCGTCATATTAGCGATGGAGGAGCTAGTGGTCAATCTTAGTGGTGTAGTTATGTTATCTTTATGTTGGAGAATTTTATTTTAAGTTGGAACTTGTAAGTGTAACTTATGTTGTGAGAGTGAGACTATGTTGAATTGTTGATTGTTGGATGATGGAATTTGTGAATTATTTCATGTTTGAGACTATTTACTTATGTAGTAGTAATGCTATATTTATCTACTAACTACTTGTGTAGAATGTAGTTGACATTAACAATGTCATTGCCTAATGGAGTATTGGACTATTGGTAAATCGTTCATTATAAGTGAGATGTACTTGTAAGCTGTAAGGGTCTATTAGATAAACAACTAATTAACTAATTACTAATTACTATTAACTAATAGTGTTGTTGATTAATAAAACTTGATAGACGATAGCAATATAATATAGTAATAATTAATAAACAAACAAAATTATTTACATCATTTAATTAAACAACATTCAGAAAAATAAAAAGAACAAAATGCCCAAATCAGTCCACTCGGTTTCGGTATTAAGTCGGTATACCGGCTCGAAAACATAATCTCAATGCACTAACCGGTATTCGGTATACCGGATAACATTCGGTATCGGTATTCGGTGGGTACACTGTCAGGTTCCGGTATACCGGATACCGACCGATTACCAGCCCTAGTTGGTACGGCTCAAGATAGGGTGCATAACCAAATCTGAACTCTTTATTTAGAAAATTCAGACCTAAGGAAGGAGAATTACAGACCATTTTTATTTTTTCTAGATTTCTTAATTGACTCATATCTTTTTCGTTTTAACTCGGATTTTAATTTTTATTGCACAGATGGAATGATTTCATCGTGCTCTACAAAATGAGATAAATTTTCAATATTTTTTGAGAAAAAAAATTCTGGCCTCTCGGTACCAACTGCATACCATATGGTATCTTCTTCGTTTTTAATTCGTTTTTGAAAAAGTTTGCACAGAAGGGACGAGTTTATCATGATCTATTGGATCTACAAATTTCTGGATGAACAA